ATTAGCTTTGGAACAAGTTAAATAAACCAGACTAACCAAATTAAGGTAAACAAAGCTGGTAAAAATGTTCGCCTTCGAGAAGCAACCACATGTCGCTAATAAATCTAAAAATAAACTAAAAAATAAACTTACACCCAACTAAACTAAGGAAATAAAGGTAAACTGACATAAGCTAAACTAAAAATAAAACAAGACTATGAAAGCTTAATAATAAATTTAAAAAAAACCAACAGAATAACAACATAAACTACAAGTAAATGCGTTGTGTTGCTCATATAATTTAGGACGTGCCAAACATACCGGTTGGATCTGTTGTGACTACCGTTGAGGCTGCAGGCCCATAACCAGCAGTGGTTTGAGCTTTGATAGTGATTGTATACGTGGTCATAGGTTTGAGGTCGAAGAAGCTGTAGTTAAGGCCGCCAATCTCTTCACTAATGTTATTGAGGGTCACAAGATAGTTTCCAAGTTTGCCATTGGGAGCGGCAGGTGGACTCCAAGAAATCTCCAAAGCAGCTGTCGTCACTTTCACCTCCAAATTTAGAGGCATGGACGGAGCTAAATTGGATAAAATTATTTGCTTTTAAAAGAGCTAATGATATTCTACTTGAGTTTTTTGATTGCTTTCTAGATTCCTATGAGGGCGGAAGGCTACGAAATAGGTTAAGTTGACTTTGTTAAGCAAGTTGAAATGAAATATGCCCGGAATTTTTCTGAAAAATAGATTCTACGTCTAATTCAGAAGTAGTGTTTTGCAGAATACTTAATTAATCCTTAAAGGAGCATATTTTTTCTGAATTGTTTTAACATTACACAGAAACAAACTGCGACCAACGTTCATGGACCGTACAATTTTTTTAAAGTTATTGGTTTGGTTAGTTGAAAAGAACTATAGGAAAACAGCTTCCTCCATATTTGGCTCTTTGAGTGTTGCTGATTGGAAAAGTCTATATGTAGCAAATATTTTCATCAACAGAGATCCTAAAAAGGCACTAACAATAGCTGCAGTAACGATATGGGGAATTTTATTCATAAAAGACATGTATAACTAAGTTTAAATGTTCTATTTGCTGAATTTGAAAGGACGCCTTATCTTTTGCAATGACTGTGCTAAAGGAATCGATTCTGTTTCTATTAGGAGGTGTTTTTTAAATAGCTAGGAAACAGGCAAAATGTTATACGCAACAAACTGTTTTTCTCTAATTTCTGACGCAATATAAATAGTTTTCTACAACCCATAGCCTACGCTTTGCGGTTTTGAAACTTCAAAATGCCTTCTGCTCTTAGATTCCTACCTTAGAATATTTTATTGCGCAGAAAAAGGGATGATTTTGGTTGATGAAATCGTGATGTTTTATTCAGAAAGTGACTTTTCCAGCATCGATTTTTTTCAAAGACTCGATTTTGTTAAGTGATCTAAAAATATCAGAAAAAGTACTCCAAGACTTAGAAGACTGGAATGATGCTTATGGGACGAGGTAAAGGCATATGGTTTTTCTCGTTATTGGTGTCAGTTCTGGATGGAAAATCATAACTAATATATTTGGAAATCTTGGCACTTTAGCGTCGAGAGAGCTTTAGTTTGTAGGCGAAGATAAATTTTGCACATATTTACTTATTAACAGGGATGTCATCTGTGCAGCTTTTACACTTTTGGTGGAACTATTGGCGTCGTAGTTACCGAGCTGGCCCTAGTAACAGTACTACTAATATCGGTATCGATTACTGAGGATCTTTGTGTTAAACGGGACTGAGTAGTTTTTGCTATCAGAAAGGATACATAAGGTGCTTTTATTAATCTCAAGTGCGTTTTCCATGTCGTTGACGTCTACTCAGGTCAAAGGGTAGGCTTCAGAAGAAAGTTTTTTTTCATCGGTACAGTTCCTCCCCATTTATGTTCATGGTTTTATAAGGCAGTTGGTATTTACTATTTTACTATCTTTAGGCACACTGCTCATTGATTAATATTGTCCACTTGAACGTATGATTGCGCAGAAGAAGAAGCAGATGCGGCCACTGTAACAATAGTCTTATTGTCCTGACGTTTCCGATTCAGTCGGGAATCCTGTATCATAGGTTATGGTATCATAGTCATAGTCATGCGCAGATAGCGTTGAAACGTGCACAGGTTGCACGGTATTTATAGTTCATAGTGGTCATCTGGGTACGTACACTAATTATCCATTTCTGTAGCCATTGCCTGGGTCTTAATTGGCGCGGTACTGGCTTGACACTTCGCGTTCGACTCATTATTTGCCGTAATTTCCTCGTCCGTTTTGGATGCGGGCTTGGTAACTTTGCGATAATTATGCTCGTTGTCGTGAGAGTTGTTGATGCTGGGTCCGGCCCCTCCCACGTGCCTGATTCTCTTGCTCAGGAAATTTTTCAGTACACTGTTTGGGAACACCAAATTAATGCGCTTGTTGGTGGACTGGGGGCCTGATAACCCTGACTCGAAAAGCTCGCGGCTTACGTGGTTGTCACCTCTTGCGAGGATTTCGGCCCCGTTAAACTTGAAAATACGGCCGAGTCCCGTCGAGTGAGCTGCAACCTGGGAGTTTACATCTTTCTTCCTCGCCACCGCTGCATGCTCGGCCATTCGTGTCCAGAGTAATCACCCGGCCACGTGGGAAGGGCCGAGCCCAATAACAACTCGGACGACGGCGAGCATAATTGTCGCGCAATTACCAAGACCGCATCCAGCACGGGCAAGGAAATCGCGGAAATTATTGATTCGAACGCAAAGTGTCAAGCCATTACCGCACATATTAAGACCCAAGCGGCAGCTACGGGACTGAATAATTACAGTACTCACGTGAATGACCGCAAAGACCTATAAATACCTTGCAGTCTTTGCATGTTTCATCCCTACTTGCACATGGCTCAGACTATCCTTCCATTACCGAAACGTCAGGGAAATAAAACTCTTGTCGCACCTTCTTCTGCTGAACTGCTTCCTGGAACTCGCATATTCACTTCGTATGATAACTGTCAGCAGACTATTGTACCGCGCTTTAGGTCAGCAGTAAGGTCAAATAACGTTGTATTCTACCACCAAAAAATATTGTAAAAAATATCTGAACTGCGAAATTTTTTGCAGCTTACGGTACTCTTGCAGCCGATCCGTAACATTGTTTGTGTACGCAGCCAGGGACCCAACACAGTCAGCATTCACACGAAAGGTGTAGCTGACGCCCGGCGCCAGATTTGTCAAGACGTGCTGATTTGACGCTGGAATCAGGACCTCCCTTCTAGTGCGATTTCCATCCTCATAGAGGATTGTGTTTGAGTAGATGCCGCAGGATGTTACCTGTGAAAAGTCCCACTGAAGACGAACAGATCCCACGTTCACTTGCGTGAGTTTTGGTGGAGCATTCGTTGGAACTAGGAAATGGTAATAATAAAAATAACTGAATAAAGAGAGCACCATCGTAAACGTTGATAAAGCGTGGTATACAGAGGTTCAACGAACGCTACTTTTTGTTGGCGTTTATACTTTTTTTCGCACAAACTGGAGTACAGGCATCCCAAGTAGTATAAATGAAGTCAAATTGGCTGTTTGGGAAAATAAGTAAATTCTAGTGAGTGCATGTTGGACACTGATTCCCAAAAGGGGTCGTCAGACTTCGTTACGTGTTCTAATTGGTGCACACAAAAAATTACTATCGAAATGTCAATGGTTTTTATTGTACATTTGCCCCCATTTGCCGGGGAACTGGAAACCAGTGCAAAAGAAGTTACGCAATGAAATAAACCGCATTCCCAAAAAAACTTATTATTTATTACTTTCTTTGTATATATGCACAAATTTTTGTTGTGATGCAAGCTCCGCCGAGTAAACTGTACCTCTATTATCAACTTTATTTGGTTAAATTACGGAGTAGCATGAGGTATTAGCAAAACTAACCTTTACTTCTATAAAAGTGTTTTTCTTATGCTAAGTCAGTGAAAATATGTATGTATACAAATATGAATGAATGTAGGTATTTCACCGACCTAGTCAAGCAACAATTAAGTTCCGCTTTGCCGAGGAGCTGGCAACGCAAACCCTCAAGACCGTCACATAGTGACTAAGTTGATACGATGAAGTGGATC